TTAAAATCTGGTCTCTGATTTTTAAATGCCCATCACGCACAAGCAAGCGTGTCTACTATGAGGAATTTATCCTCCAGTCCTGCGTATGAGACTGTTCGTTCAGCATGGATTTTAGAAACAAAAGACTACAAACAACCAGGATGCTCATTAATAAGAGAATGGTACATAAATGATTGTACATCGAAACAATGGGATATTATGAACTTGCGAAAAAAGAATTAAGTGGATCCCTATACAATGACATGGAAAGATCTCAAAGCTCTTTTGTTGAGTGAAAAATACCGAAGGCGATAGAATGAGTTTGGAATGTTCCCCTTGATGGAAAGAAAATGGAGCTCTCCACAGTGCTGGGGCCTGGGTTTGGGAGTCTGATGGAGACTTCACTTCTTTGTATGTGTTACTGTTAGGTTTTCATTTTCCCACATGTGCACATTAATTTTTCAGTTGAAGAAAGAAAATGGAAAAATCCCTCCTCTTCGGGAAGGCACAGAGAAGGCTGCAGGCTTGGAGGCTTGGAGTAACAGGCACCTTTACCCATCGAATCCTTTCTCAAAGATTCTTGAACTCATCCAATCCCGTAGCTGGTAGAACCACCTCATTGATAATTCCCCAAGATCGTTTTGCCTCATGGGAATGTTGACAGAGCTTCATCTGAATAAAATTTATACCTGTCTGTCTTATTCTCGGAACCAAAGTAGTTTGGGGTGGATTTTCTAAAAGGGCCATATCAATTAGAACCAAGAAGCATCTCTTAAGATTCTCTAATCAGAAGAAATTAGCACTTCACACACGGCTTTTGTGAATAATAATCCTTTGTTGTGTTGAAACCTCTCTGAGCCTGGACCCAGGGAGCACTGGGTTCACGCTTCTGACTTGCCAGGAGAGAACTGAACTAAAACTAGGAGCCCTGGCTTCTCTCCCAGCTGGGTCAACATACATACATATAGTTTGCGGTGAGTCACCTTCCCCTCCAGCCTCAATTTCCTCATTTGTGAAACGTGGGGGGGCGGGGGGAATTTACGTCTCATCATGGCTGGGACCCTTCAGTTCTGATGTCTCATTATTTTAGGAAACTTAATGAAGGAACAGAGGAGAGATGCAGGTGAAAATTCTTCTGGCCTATGGATACCAAGATGTTACTGCTGACACTTGCTTGTTGTATCTGTCTGCCTAAACCATTTTTTTTTTTTTTTTGGTTTAAAAATTAGAACAATTTAAAAAACGACACTGAATTTCAACAGCTATCTTAGGTTTTCTGCCTCCCCAGTTTGTTTTGAACCCATTTGTGTTTATGACCCCTGTGGACATACTTGTTCTGGAGAACCAGCCCCTCTTCTCCGGCCCTTATCTGATCTGATCCTGGCCCTAGGTCTTGCTGAGAAGCATTAACCTGTGGAATCAATGACCTCATTCTACTTTTTCCACTATGCTTTCTGGTCTTTGCTTCCAGGCTCCCAAGAGTTATGGTCTTCTGGTTCCAAAGCCAAAATGTTTTCTAGTTGGTTTTTCCTCACTGTTTATAGTTGGTGTTTCCTCACTGTTTAATTTTACTTTAAAAAAGGAAGGAAGTGGGGGAGGGAGGGAGGGAGGGAGGGAGGAAGGAAGGAAGGAAGGAAGGAAGGAAGGAAGGAAAGAAGGAAGGAAAGAAGGAAAGAAAGAAAAAGAAAGAAAGAAAGAAAGAAAGAAGAAAGGAAAAGAAGAAAAGAAAGAAAGGAAGAAAGGAATTCTTTAAATGCTTGGAGAAGGCAGGATGGGGATGGGTGGGGGAGTGGTGGGTGCTATTCATTAGAATTCCTATAGAGTAATCAAGTCTTTTCATTTCAAAGGGTGTTGTTGCCTGGGAATTAATATTAGATCTGATTTTGAAATAAGCCTAATGATGATGACTTTTGGGGGGTATATATTTTTTTTGCTGCATTTGCATAAAGCTTTTTTCTCAGCTTGGCATATGGAAGTTAAAAACATGAGTTCTGCCTTTAAAATTCTTTTTGGCTTATTATTGGGCAGAAAAGATAATTGTTCAGAGGGACTGCAATGAGCGAGGGTAATTTAATGTTCTTTGAAATGTTGCTTTTGTAACATTTCAGAGTAACAGGCACCTGATTAATTGGCCTTCCAGGATCCGAGGCCGTGGGCTGGTCAGTGCTGGGAGCCCTCAGGAGCACTGGCTCTCCAGAGCCTTTGGGGCTTTCCTGGGTGTGGAGTGGTCAGCTCAGCATATATACGTATCCACAGGCCTGCCTTTCTTATCTTATGTGCTGCAGCATCACCTCTGACATCTTCTGCATCCCCATAACTAGTAACAGAAGAAAGTTAGCAGCACACACATAATATGGTGTTTTTTCCTGTATTAATTAGCTATTGTTACTCTTGAATGTAACAACTTAAGATAGTGAACATGGATTATCTCAGTTTCCACATCAGCAATTTGGGACTGGCTTTTCCCGGTGGTTCTGGCTCAGGATCCCTCTTGACCCTCCTATTCCTCCTTTTTTCTTTGCACACAGTTTTCTCTCTGTTTGCAAATCTTTTGATCCTGCTTCCTTTATCAAGTGGCAAACTCCTATCCATCTTACGGGATTCCGCTGAAATAACCCATCTCTTTTATTTCTCCCCTCCCTCTCCCTAGAAAAGAAGTATGACATTTGGACATACTTCTTTTAAAATGAGAGCTCTGATTTTTTAATGTTTGTGTGCATGATGTCCAGACTTGAATTGTGTAATACGGTGAACAGCAGCCACATGCAGCTATTTGAATATAATTTAAAATTAATCAAAATTAAATAAAGTAATAAATTCAGTCCCTCGGTCACATAAGCCGCATTTCACAGGTAGGTAGAGAACCTCTCCATCATCGTAGAAAGTTCTGCTGGACAATCTAGTCCAGAGTGTCAGCACTTTCAAGTCTAGGGTCCTGTCTTCTTCATCCCCAAAACATTTTTTTGTGGTCTGAAGTAGCAAGTATTTGACCCGTTCACCCCTCTATTGCCTGGGTCTGACACAGTGTCAGGTTGAATAGACTGGGAAAGTGGTTTCTGGAGGGTCTCAGAAACTTATTTGACGTATATTGAGTTCCCACTCTATGTCAAACACTGCATGTCTTGTCACTGGGACTGAATGAAAAAGAGATAGTGTGGTAGTCTGTGTTAATCTATTAGCTCCATCTCTATTTGCATCATGCTTTATAAGTGTCACCTTCTAGCCAGAGGTGGCAGCACGGCACAGTGGCCATTGGAAGATGTACGTATAATCCTGCTATGGAGTTCCTGAGAGTTCTTTTGCTTTTCCAATACTGGTGTGGTCACAATGATCTTTTCTGCCAGATGATAAAGTGTCGTCTCCCTTCTTCAACCCTATTGGAGTACAGGAATGGTAGGTGGGGCTGCAGCAGCCATTCTGTGGCCATGAGGTCATAAGTGAACATACTGAAATGACAGAGCGGATGATAGAGAAAGGTGGGGCATAATGTCGTAGAGTCTCTGCACCAGCCCTGATCACATTTCTCTAGGTTCCTTGTTGTTGAGGAAAAGGTACATTCCTGTTTTTGAAGATATTATGGTTGGGTTTTATATTACTTGCACCCAAATGCAGTTCTAACTAACACAGATGGAACGAAGAGACTCCCCAGTCCCGTCTGATGCGAAGATAAGGAGGATTATTCTCCAAGCTTAGTGCTTAGGACCTCCAGCCACTGGGAACACAGCAATTGCAGGCAGTGATATTTCTGACCAAGTCATCAAATAAAGAGTTGGAGACTGGGCCCACTGGAAGCGCTGGAACACAGTCTCCCCTGGGTTTGGCCGGCGTGGTGCTCCACCTGCTTGTTCGACTCTCAGAACCTTCCGGGAGCTTTTGGAAGTGGCATCACTAAGGCTGTTTCCTGAAGGGCACCGCAGAGCATCTGTACCCACGCTGACCCGTGGGACCATCAACTGGACAGTTCCTCTAGCCCAGTGCTGCAGAGCCTAGAAAGGAGTAGAGAAGGTTCTGGAATTACTTTGGAGTCTTTCATTTTGCACATTTCTCATATTATACTTTTGACTTCAATTAGCAGGCCAGAGAAAATACTTTATTCTGGCTAAATGCCGTGAAGGTTATCAGTGGGTGAGGATTCCAAATACAACATTGCTTTTATGTTAACCAGATCTCCTGTACATCACATTTTAATATGTCAATTAAGTACTTAAGTACACTGAAGGAATGCTGTATAGTGTGCTTATCATCCAGGGGGAATAAAAACACTTGTTGATATTGAATGAAAAGGGCAAACTTAGTCGTAACTGTCGAACTCCATTCTTAGCAGTGCACTTTTATTTGGCCACTGGTTTGCAAGGCTTTGAACCTTTAATTGGCCCATAACAGCAGAGTGACAGCAAGCTAGATTTCAATCAGCATACTCATGATTTGCCAGTATTTTGAGCAATAAATTTCTAGCTAATAAATTTCCCATAGCTTCCTTTGTAAATGCCAGCTAAAGGCCTAAACATTCCGTGTAGATTTAATTATACATTTAGTGTTCCTGTAATTTTGAATTAATTACATGCCAAACAGATTTATGTTCTATGTACTTAATAAACCTCAGTAAGTGCCCTTTTAGCAATCATTTGGTATTTAGGACCCGGTTTGTTTTTTAAAAATAATGGTTCGCGTCCCTGGGTCTTGTTGTTCCTTCCATATGTCTGGGTGTTGATAGAATTAGAGAGACCAGATGTCGATACTGAAATGAGAGCAGAGTCACTGGTGGATAGCGGGGTTTGGGCGTGTGGGGTGAGGAAGGGGGATGAGCTCATACTTGGACGTCAGAGAGCCGAATCATCAAATTCATCAGCAGGTTTGGGTTTTGGCGTTTGTCTCAGACCACGGCGTGGTGGAGGGCGGATGTTGCACTGCGGGATGAGATGCCTTGTGGGGGTGGGGGTGCAGTGTCCTTCCTGTCTCCAGGTGGTCGGTGCCCCGATGGCCACTAGGGATTTCATTGTATTTTTTTTTTTCTTCTTTAGGTGCTTCTACTTATTGTGTTCTTTCTCGGGACAGCCTTATTTCCAAGCTCACTGGGGATCTTGATTATATTTATTGAGAATTTACTCATGCCCAGCACTATGGTAAATGTTTATGAGTTTTGTTTCGATGATTTCTGATTCAGCCCTCTGTGGGAGGAGCCGGGGGTGGGGGGGGGATGCATTTGTGTTTAACAGATGAAGAAACTGAGGTCCAAAGAAGTGAAAATACTCGCCGAGGTGACAGTGTGAGTAAATAACAAAGAGGGAACAGTTCTCCAGTGTCTCTTGTTATGAGGTCACTCATCCCATCATGTCCCCCCATGACCTTCTCTAAACCTAATCACCTCCCAAAGGCCCTTCCTCGAAATACCATCACATTAGGGATTAGGACTTCGACATATGATTTTTTTTTTTTTTTGGAAGGGGACACGATTCAGTCCGTAGAACCCTCTGAAATGGCTGATGATAACTCAGAATGGGAGGAAAAACCAAGAATCAATGACCCCTGGAATCTCTCAGACATCCTGTCAGCAAGCGTTTCGCTCTGTGCTGTAGAGGCACCTCTCAACGAGGACACAGCCACCACATTCATAAGAGCCTTCAGGAGAAATCTTCCTTTAGAGCAGAACTGGAAGACGCAGGCTCTGCCCTCTGTGTGAGAAGATAAAAGTCGATCGGCTGGGGAATGCTGAGGCAGGTCGGGGTGACGAGAAAAGGGCAGCAGTGAAATGAAAAAGCAGCTCCTGGGGGTGGGGTTGGGATTCTTCGTAAAACAGTCGCATAACTTCTCCCTCCGCAGTGCCAACGCCTGATTTCCCTTGTCGCGGGTCAGGGAGGCCGGTTTACAAGCAGCTGGATAAGGGATGCCGCGCAATCACTAAAGATGTTCTTTCTCGCTTTGGGTGAATTGCTCGGGCAGATCGCGCCCACTGGAGACGCACGCTGCCACGCAGAAGAACGCACACAGCAGTGGCTCCTGCCTCTGACCCCCTCCCTCCCTCGCTGATGGCAAGTTCAAATAAAGGGAGAAACCTGCCATTTTTGCCGGCGTTCTCTCTTTATCTGGAAATGTCCTCGGGCCTGTGAAATTAGGCAGTAACATAGCATGAGGCCGTCATTATTGCTAGACAATCGACTGCATATCCCCGAGTGAAACAAAGGTGGTTACAGAACAGTAAAGTCAATTATCATTTATTAATGGTGGTTACAGAGCATAGCAGAGCAATTTATAAATTGAATTTTTAAATTGAACAGTTTTCTGTTTTTATTTTTAAAGGCAGGAGGCAGCTATATGGAACAAAGCATGGGACCATTAGCTGGTGACACGGTGCACATGTTTTTGGAGATTCTTTTTGAGTGAATTCTTTAGTAGATCATCTTTCTGATGCACCTTATTCCTTCGAACGAAAGCTTCACAATGTGCTGATTCTCTCCAATCTGACTTGGGTGAGTGGACACAGCAACTATTAGTGTCTGTCTGTGGTCATAATGTGCATTTTATCCACACACACTATGTATGTCTTTAATCATGCAAAAAGTACACATAGAAATACATGAAAAGAGACATAAGAAAAAATCCAGAGGAAGACCAGGTAAGAGTGAGCTAACCTCATGAGACTTTCTCATCACTAAGTGTTCCATTTTAACTGGACTTGAAATGGAAAGGGAGAGATTGCTAAAAAATGAGGGAGAAGATTACTAACATCAGAGCTATGTTTTTTCAGAGGATGGTTTAGGCTTTGCTGTCTTTTGAAGGCATTTTTATCTTTAATAAAAGAATGTTTAACTTGACATCACCCATTAACCTATCATATAACGTATGGTAGACTGAATGAGTGTCTCCAATTTTTTTTTTTTTTTTTGGATTAAAAAGCTCCTTTCTAACACATGGAATGAATAAGTGGGCTAATAAGGTACCATCTGTGAGTTTGAAACTATTTGGGCTCTTTCCAGTCATTCATGTTGTTGGCACACACCTCAGGGGGTGTGGGAGATCTTCTTGTTACTTCCATGATTCCATAACTCACAAGTCTCTTATTACTTTCTATTCCAAGTCACACTTTCACCTAAGTGGCACCTCATGAGCTGAGCCAGAAGTGAAGGCGACCTCCAGGGGAAATTGTTCAATGTCCCTGTTTCGCTTGTGTTGTTTTGTTTTCCGTGCCATGTGACTTAGCTGGTGCTCACTAAACCCGCTACGCTTGACAGAACTGCTTGAAAGACACAAAGCCGAGCGTCAGTGTCTCCTTTCACCCGATCTGACTAGTTACTAGTTAGCTCTTTACAGGCAGCACAAACCATTTTGCTCTTTCACCCCCCTTCCCCAAACGCCCTTTCTTTGCTCTGATGTTTGGGGCCCAGGAATGTTCGGTGTTTCATACAGATGTTGCCTTATGCATGATAAATACAACGGGCGATTGCACAGCTGGAATTCCCGCAGACCCTCTGCTCAGTGAAGATTTCCTCCCGTCAGCTCCTCCTCTCTGCTCTGAAATCAGCAACGAGTCCCTCCCTTTTTGTGTTTCCGTGAATTTTTCCTTCAGCACATCTGATTTCGATTGCAGGGTCTCTGGGTAGAGCCCTGATTAGCTTTTCTCTTGGAGCCGGTCCTCACGTTGCTTACAAAATAAGTGCAAATCATGAAGATGATCCTAAACAAAATCCAGTAGCTGGAGATGGTGTGGGGAGAGCATATTGCGGTGGGGCGATGCATATTTGAAAACTCTCTGAGTTGGAAGCCGTTTGCCAGAGATTCTGCATAAAGAGTGGTGATTGTTGGGACTTATCTTCCTTGTGGTATTTATGCTGAGAAGTATCGGGCAGGCTATATCTGGAAGATTTCGTCTCTCCCTCACCCCCCATCTCCCTCCCCCCAAAAAGAGAGAGACAAAACCCATCATCTCTCCAGAGCATCCCACTTCTAACTGCCCGGCCCACTCAACATTGACTTGGAATTTGTGGCCCCAATCACAGCTTTTTTGTGCCTTTTTACACAATGGCTGGGCCCCTCTGCGGAGGGACGGGTCGAGTGACAATTTTCTGCATTGTGTCTGTGTGCCGTGACTGGGTCAATAGTACATCCCTTAGAATAGGAAAAACAGCTTATGGATGAAAACAAAAACATCATTTAAGATCTCCACACAGTCCCCGCCACCGGCCGTGCATGGGGCTGACATTTGGGTGCTCCAGTCTTTAGGAGAAGAACAGTGCGCAAGCACAGTCTGCTAGCATCGTGAGTCAGAGGGAACCAGATCCTCCTCTCCCCTCTTCTCCATTCCAGCCCAACTTCCTGCACTGGTTATAAATATTTAAAGCTACAGTCAACAAAGTTTAAAGAGAGGGAAGTATGGAAACCTAATCCTTTCTGCAGTGCCTTCTGTGTCCTGTGTCCTGCCTCCTCTATCCTTCAGAATAAGGTCAATGGCGCAGGCTCAGGAGGAGCAGGATATGAACCATCTGAGCAGGTTCTCTTCCTAGGGAAAACCATCAGCCCTAGTGAGACCTTTCACCTAAGGATTTTCAGTCTGCTGAGTGTCGGGCGTGGAACAGTTTGCTGAAAATAAAGATTTTGAAGCAGCTCACTCTTTTAGATATCTGTTTTGTGTGCGTTCGTGCGTGCGTGCGTGTGTGTCTGTGTGTGTCTGTGCGGGATTTGAGGGATGCAGATCTTAAAAGGCTCAAACCCTCTCCTCTAAGAATTCACATTTATAGTACAAGGTGATATATGTTCCAGCAGGGAGCACTGCGAAGCTCATCAAGATAAGTACAAAGTGCTGTGGGGGCTTAAAAGACTGATTCATTCATTTAAGCAACAGATATAAGCACCTACTATGTGCTAGGCATCGAGCAAGCCTCTGAGGAGTCAAGGATGAAGCAAGGATGAGAGTGGGGAGAAGACTCCACTTAAGGGGCTGACTTTGTTGGATCTTGAAGGATGAGTAGGAGTTTTCCAGGTTAAAAAAAAAAGAAAAAGTGGATGAGGATTGATGAGAGGACCTTCCTGGCAGAGAGAAGTCAAGGGCAAATGTGTGCGAGTGGCCGGCATGACCAAGGGATGAGCACAAACTCCACGAGGGGCTTTCTCAGGTCCATGGGCACTTGACAGACAAGAACCTTGTAGACCAAGGGAAACACTTTGGAGACTCTGGTCCAGGGCTGGTCACTCAGGAAACGAGGTATGTTTTTAAAAATTGTTCTACTGAAAAGGAACCCTTTCTTCTAATTCTCATAAATACCCTGTATATTATTCACTATCTTATAAAAACACTCAGCTCTGCTGCACCCCTGTCCTAGGAGGCAGAGGTCTTTGTGGGGTAGGAGAGAAGGAATGCCTCCTGTCTTCCTTTTGCTTTAGGGCTGACTTTGCTCACCTGACTGTCTGGATAAGCAGAGCAAGGATTCTTCCAGCGGAGTGGATGCTGTCTGCATGCCACAGGAGCGAGGCCCAGGAGTGGGAGTTGCACAGGTCCTGCTCTGGGTTGGCACAAATGGATGCCATTGCAAGGCGATGCACTGTAGATGTCTTCATGCCAGATGCTCTTGGTGAGGGACAGATTTCATAGTTGGAACGCAAACCCTGACCCGGAGGTCAGACTCTAACTGAGGTGGGCGATTCACTGTCGTGAATAGAACTGTCCTCCTAATAGGGGGACAACCCCAAGCCTTACTTTTAAAAGACCCTTTTATTCAACTGCAGCAAAGCTTTTGTTGAATAATATTAAACATGTTTTTTAAGAATGACATGTGAAGTTGCTTTTGAAAATCATCTTTTTTTTTTTTTTTTTTTAATGCAACTCTTCCCTTGGCGAAAATCTATAATTCTTTCCTCCGTCTAAGCCCATTATAGTTTATAAAGCGTTCTCGTGTGTGTATTCTTCACAAGAACTTGTCGAGGGTCGGGGGCCCTTTACATGGTTTAGAAGACAAAGTCAGAGGGATCCTGGGACTTACAGTTGCCCGTGGCCAGTTTTGTTTCTGGTTCTTCAGAGGTGTGGGCTGGCTCACGGGGTCTGTAAGAGACCCTTTAGGGATTTGAACCCTGACCTCAAATCCATATGGAGAATTTGATTGGATGCCTTGCCTGAAGGTTTTGGGGCTGAAAGGGCTTCATTCTCTGCTGAGTGGCTGTGGCTTCGAAGGACGCATTTGTACATTGAGGCAGGTGTGTGACTTGGATCCCAAGCTCTGAGCTGGCTCCGTAATTGTGCCCGCAATAAGACGCACCACTGTTTTCTGTCCTACAGCATGGCATGTGGGGTCAGTAGCTTGGCTCAGCAATGGTCTCCGGTAGTGGCGAGGACTCACCCACACTTGAACTCTCAAAAGTATTCAATTGTGGACCCTGCTGTTTGAAGGTGATCGAATGGCAGAGTTGAGTTTGTTGTTGTGATTTAGTTTTATCCTTTAAAGTTACCTGTACTCACTGAGTATGGCCTGAAAGAGGCTCCTTAAGACTTTGGAAATTGGCTTCTTTGATCCCTGGTGGTATAATATTCATCTCAAACACTGATACCCTCCTCTTTGCCTATATAGAAGTACTGTGAAGTAATTCTTTCTCCTCTTAATCACATTTTCTCATGACTTGTTTTTGAAGTCTTCCCTATACATTGCCTATTGCTTGTTCACCCAGCATTTCTGTTCCCTGTTTTCCCTTCTGAAATGCCATACCATCGCTTACACCCTGGGTTGGTGACGGCATGGCTATATTTGGAAACCCAAGATGAGGAATTGTCACCCGTCGTGGTTGGTCCCAAGGGATCTCTGAGATCTGAGGTTGAGTCACTATGTATGTTCGTTCCATTTTTCACAGGCCTATCACTTTTGTGCCTGTTGTACCTTTGTCCATAATGGAGAAAAGGCAAGGGGGACTCGGATGTTACCTCTTTTCTGAGACAGTGTCAATCCTGAGTGACTCTCTGCCCTCACCCCTCTCTCTCTTCCTGCGTGTGTGTGTGTGTGTGTGTGTGTGTGTGTGTGTGTGTATCTCCGCTCACCTCTGTCCACATGTATGTAGTAACTAGCGTGATACAAACTTCTGAAAGCTGTTGCAATATCGGGTCACCCATGGACTCCCATTACCAGTTTGGACCTAAAGTGGTAATGATTTTATTAGAAAGTGAGGAGACTTTAATCTGCTCACTAATACATTTCTGTAGGAAAGTAGCTCCAAAGGAAAACTATTTCCCTTCACCCAGGAATCAGGAACCCTCAGCCTCTCCCAGGTGTGTTCCACCAGAAAGGAAATCGTTCCT